CTCTCCAATGTCTCGAATCCTCAAAGCTTGGCCTTTTTTTTACCGAGGCTCTGCTGCTGCTTCCCCTTACTTCACTTGTGCAAATCATGTTTACACTGCATTATTGAGAATTATATATGTGTTGTAGTGAAAATGTGTAGGGCATTTTAGTAATCAAATTAATTTGGATTCTGATTCATGAAAATTAGTAAACAATAACAATGGGAATCAACCCCATTCCTTAACTAATTCCGTATGTTTAGTAAACAGCGTAATGGGAATGATTCTTCCCATACCGATTCAGTAGTTCTCCGATTCCTGAATTCTCTGATTCCTTCCCATACCCATTACTGATACGTAAACATGCCCTTATAGGCATCCGAAAACATGTAACCTCCACCAACCAACAGTTATAGGCATTGGTGACTTACTTTACACAAATTTTCAACCTTGCACTTTTTTATGTGCAGGGGATTATCAGCAATGAACTTGAAAGGACAAATTGAAGGCGATATCGGGAGACTCTCTGAATTAATATCCTTGTGAGTATAATTGCTCCTCTTTGTACCAGCATTATGTTTGCAGCACATTATGAATTGAACCCAGATGCAATGCAATAGATTCAGTATATAAACATATGCATAAAACACATTTCTTTTGCAGTATCAATTACTTTGTTATCACTCAATCTTTAATTAGCATGGCATCCTTTTTGTAACGAAGTAGAAACGTTAACATTGCAGGGACCTTTCATTCAACAAAGCCCTCACGGGTTCTCTGTCTCCACGATTAGGAGATCTGAGCAAGTTAAATATCCTGTAAGAACAAATTAGCAAGCAATTTTCATATTTGCACCTTTTGAACTTTGTATATGCAATATAAGTTTTTATATTGGATAAGTATACAGGACTCTTTTCATCTTTTAGGATCCTAGCTGGCTGCGGATTCAGTGGCAATATTCCAGAGGAATTGGGCAATCTTGAAGAGCTAACTTTCTTGTAAGAATTGAATTGATAATCATACTGTTAGTGCAAACCATTTTAAGTTTTTTCTTTCCCAACTTTATATAAATCCTTTGTTCTTTTCAGGGCTCTGAATACGAATAAATTTACTGGTCAAATACCTCCTTTGGGTAAACTCTCCAAACTTTTCTGGTTGGACCTGGCAGACAATCAGTTGACTGGAACTCTACCAATTTCAACCCCCGTTACCTCAGGCTTAGACAAACTATTGAAGGCTGAACACTTGTGAGTATTTTTCCATTTCTCAAACTCTCTCCATTGTGAAAAAATGAAATTCTAATAGGGATTATGCCATTGCTTATTGCATAAACATTAAACTGATAATATGGACATGCAGCCATTTCAACAAGAACCAGCTTTCAGGTACCATTCCACCCAAACTTTTCAGCTCTGAGATGAAACTGATACACATGTAAGTTCATCCCTTCGATCATTTTTTAATTTAGCCAGATGCCATCTATCAGTTTATGTTCTATACTTATATTTATCTAACTGCTTGTCATTCTTGAACTGCAGTTTGTTTGATGGAAATCAATTTATTGGGGAGATTCCATCAACCATAGCACTCGTTCCGACTCTTGAGGTTCTGTGAGTACAAAAACAGCTCGATTTTGTTATTCTTTCGCATATAAGTATCTGCTTCTTGATACTAATTGGATTCAAAACCTTCTTGTTTGCAACAGTCGGCTTGATAGAAATGCTCTGACAGGAAATGTCCCCCCAAATATCAGCAACCTAACAAGTGTCAATGAACTGTGAGTACCAAGTCTCTAAGAGGATATTCTAATGTGCTGTTTACAGTTACCTTAATCTTAATTATTCTTAATCATCTTTTACATGAGTTTTTGTTCTCTTCCAGAAATTTGGCCCACAACAATTTGACAGGCCCTTTACCTGACTTAACTGGAATGATTTCCCTCCATTATGTGTGAGTAAGATGGCATGGAGCTGTCATTTCAAGTTTCCTGCAAGTTGTTCTTTTGTTGTACTGATAAATCCTAATGATTTTACTCCAGAGACCTGAGTAACAACTCATTTGACCCATCAGAAGCTCCACGTTGGTTCTCAAACTTACCCTCAATCACCACTATGTAAGTCCTTAGGAGGTTACACAAAAATGTCTTAGTATCTATGAATGAGTCTTGGAAAAGGACACCCTGAAAACTTTGTTGTAATTTTTTGTTGAAATTCTCTACTTTTACGGAACACAGCGTTTTAGAATTTGGAGCACTTGAAGGGACTGTGCCAGAGAAGATGTTCAGCATCACATCATTGCAGCAAGTGTAAGTTTAAGGAGAATACTGAAGAAAGCATCAAGTTTTGACTGTAATTTTAGGAAACTTGCCATTCATGTTTTTTTCTAACCCTTGACAGGAAACTGAAAAACAATACGTTTAACGATACATTGAAATTGGGTGATAGCATCAGTCCACAGCTGCAGCTTGTTGATCTGCAGAACAATCAGATTTCTAAAATAACTCTGGCTTATGAATACAAACATACATTAATGTGAGACAGTTCATGGGCCTTGATCTTGATTTTCTATGGTTGTGTGTTTTTCAACACCATTCTTAGTTGTCACTTTTACATATTGCAGACTTCTAGGGAACCCAGTTTGCACCAATGGAAATAGCTCAAATTCATTCTGTCAGCTTCTGCAAAAAGATACAGAAACATATGCTACTAGCTCGAATTGTTCAAACATTACATGCCCCGATAATCAGAAGCTCGGCCCTCAGAGTTGTCAGTGTGCATATCCTTTCGAAGGAACATTGTATTTCAGAGCACCCTCTTTCAGGGAATT